ACACCCCTTCCTATGACAGAGGAAGCAGCAGGATAACCATGAGGAGGGGAGGAGGATAGCTATGAAAGAACTCAGCAATACCAAAGCCTGGGGCATTAACTAGCATTTAAAGCCTGCCTGCTTGCTCTTTGCTATCAGGCTACCCCTTGTCCTCATTTATCAGATACTCCCCACCACACACACTCCAGTCCTGACCTCGTCCCAGGGAACCATCTAATTCTCAGTGCATGACCAGATGAGCTAGATGACTGACTGAAGAGAGCCAAATTAAAACATCAGCCAGTCTGAAATGCTAGGTCATTTCACTGCGTGTCCTACATGTTATCCTCTTTCCGAGTACATCAAATTAAGTCACATATTTCCCTGTTTTCTGAAGAGCAAGTTAATAGCCTTTTGTTTCCTAAGGATAGAGTTCACCTACTCTGTTCAGTTTTCCCTAGTTTACTTGATATTAAACTACTGGTTTTAGTCTTGGACTTGCACCTCTCGAATATTATTACCTCATAGTAAATGCTCAAGTTCAAGACAAAAACCAAAGTTCTGAGCATTATTTTTTTAAACAAGGCTTGTCAAAAAATTGAACACACAGGAAAATTGTGAAGAACTTATACAAAACCTGCCAATCGGAGACCTGGAGGTGTTGATTGCCAGATGGCTGAACATGAGCCAGTGTGCCCAGGGGGCCAAGAAGGCCAGTGACATACTGGCTTGTATCAGCACTGGCGTGGCCAGCAGGGACACGGAAGGGATCTGAGCCCTGGGCTCGGCACTGGGGAGGCCGCCCCTCGCTGAGTGGGTTCAGTTCTGGGCCCCTCACCCCAAAAAGTCCATTGAATGACTCGAACGTGGCCAGAGAAACGCAACGGAGCTGGGGCAGGGTCTGGAGCACAGGTCTGCTGGGGAGCGGCTGGGGGAACTGGGGGGGTTCAGTCTGGAGAAGAAGAGGCTGAGGGGAGACCTCCTGGCCCTCGGCAACTCCCTGCCAGGAGGGGGCAGAGAGGGGGGATGAGTCTCTGGAGCCAAGGCCCCAGCGCCAGGCCCCGAGGGAATGGCCTCAAGCTGCCATGGGCAGGGTCAGGCTGACTCTGAGGAAGGATTTCTGTGCAGAAGGGGCTGTTGGGCGTTGGAATGGGCTGCCCAGGGCAGGGGGGGAGTCCCCATCCCTGGGGGGTTGAAGAGTCAGGCTGAGCCAGCGCTGAGGGATCTGGTGGAGTTGGTAAGGGTCAGGGTGAGGTTCATGGTTGGGCTGGAGAAGCTTCAAGGGCTTTTCCAACCTGGATGATTCTGTGAGTCTGTGAAATATTTTCAAATGTATGATTAAAATTACACTACTTCTGTACATCAGTCTCTCAATGCTTTTCATAATAATACTTTAACTTAATACTTGGAATACTTATTCCAAGAGAAATCATTAGAGTATTTGAATTCAAGATTTCACTCAGCTCTCTCATTCCTTTTCTGACTTACGTAACTCCTGATTTATTCACAAACCATGGTCTCATTTAGCACAGGACTTCACATGAAGGTCAGTGTTTTACCACATCTTTTGCTAGCTTTATTTTTTCAGTAGACCACAGAATTCTATATTATCAATTACACGTGTTTCCCCCTATAGAGAAAATGGTCTACAACCACCATTTTCTCATTTGTTAGAGCATAACCATTGCACAATCTCTATAGAAAAGTGGTTCCCCAAGCCATACTTTCCAGATTAAAAAAGATTCTTGTCAACTGGCAACCCCCTTTTCTGCTTTTTCATATTCATTGGCTGTTACCAAGTTTAAGCAACATTTCCAAATATAACACAAGTTGTTTGTGGGGAAAAAAAATGTGAAAAACATCAGGAGAAGAGATGAGCAAAGGAATGACTCTGCTGAATTCATTATGAGCTTCTCTGAACCAGTATTCTAGCACTTGCATGGTCAGAAATGACAGCAGTATCCCTGTCTGATACTCCACTCAATACGCATCTAAAATAAAAGATGCAGATGTGTTACAGGTAGAATACAGCTTCTCTTACAACAGCTATATTATTATGGACATGGATTGCTTGCTTTCTTATCTAAGTGGCTCAGCTCCTCCACCAGCTACAATAGTTAACAAGAGTAAAACCACAAGGCAGCTGCCCCAGAAGGTACAGAACTACTCTGGTTTGGAAATTTTGCAGAGAATGAGCCAGAGTGCTGGGTACCTTTGTACTACAACAGCAGATTTTTACCACCAGCAATTGCCAAGTGTGAATTTTAGGCTATTCCAGCTGCCATTCAGAGAAATAGTTCAGCACTCTCACTGCTGGATTATATCCACAGTGGGTAGTTAAGAACAGTACAGTCCTGCAGTGTCAAGTTCTTGTTGAACAACAACATAACAGCGTTACTAGAAGAAGCATTTATGACTGAAGCTACAGTTCTGATGAACATCTAGTATTAAAAGCTACATAGAAGTACTGAACTCATCAACTTCCTTTAAAATTGAAGTCAACCTCATTGAAACAAGATGAATGCAGAATCAATTCTATATGTAGACCAAAATTTAGGTTTTTGAGGGTTTGTTGCAAAGGCTTTCTGCAGGAGGTCAGATACCATACACAAAGCTGAAGACTACTTGAAGCAGTTCTACTTCTGCAGTACCTCTTAGCTGTAGGCTGTTTAAGGGCTCAAGCACAGCATGAAGCATGCAGAGTTAACAACAGAGATGCTCTGCATTTGCTAGTCTTACATGTCTTTAGAAATCACTCTTGGTCCTCTCTGATCAAGAAGGGAGTGTAGAAGAGAGGAAGAACTTTGTTTTGCTCTTCCATTCTCAGTGCACATCAAGTAACTTCACTCTTCAAACTTCTAGAATAAAATCAAAATTGGATTCAAATGTTTCCTTTCTGGCAGTTTATATTTGGATTTTTGGACAATCTAAGATTCATGTAAAAAGGTCACTGGATAATGAATTAAACACTCCCAATGTGATCATCATCAATGCCACTGGCACAGGCTCTAGCTGCTTGTAACGAAGAGGGAGCATCCTTGATGTCCTCACGTGGAGCAGAACCAGAGCAGCAGCACTCCTCCACATCCTCTGCTCTCAGCACCTCAGCCAGAGAGGCTGTTTGCCTGTCAGAGGGACAGGGCACTGCTCTCCTGGAAGGCAAAAGGCACTATGCAATTCCTGCACACTCTCCAAACCCACACTAGGAAGGTTTCAGTGCTTACCTGGGTTAAACTAGATAGGCTATTTCTATTAAAATGCAGGAGGCCCAGGAAACCCCTCACAGCCCAAACCACAATTTGTCTGTAGCTTCCAGACAGTTCAAATCACCAGAGCTTCAATAATATGCAAGAGAGACAGTATGGATTCAGCGCTGCGAAATGCACAGTGGGAAAACCTAAATCTGGACAAGCATCAGAACACAAATGCGTGATCAACCCTGTGGGCACCCCTGACCCTCTCATCCTCAGGACACAATGACACCACCCTCTTGCCCCAAACTCCAGTCGCCTGCTGTTTACACCGTCACGGCAGTGCCTGCAACACCACACACACAGGGCCCCTCGGGCTGTGCTTCTGAGTCCAGCTGGGGCTGGGAGACGGCTTTAACTTCTTTCAAGTCTCCGTGTTTCCACACTGGTGACGCACAGAGCAATACAGGGCACCCAAAAGAGAAAAACAGACCAGATTACACATCCAGTGATGCCATGCCAAAGCAGAAGCCCAAGAGGTGACAACTACAATCATGTCCTGAGCTTTGGCACCAGCACAGGACACAAGAGGACTATAAGAGTGCCATGCATTAACCAGAGGATTTCAAATGAAACCATGTTAGAGGAAGCAAGAAGCATTAACCACCAATGCAGTCCTGTCTGAGAAGTTAGAGTGCCTTAGTCCAAGAGATTAATATGCATTCCCAGAGTTCAGAGAGCTCATTACCTCCCGACAGTCCTCCACAGCACAGAAATACTTATCTCTAACGGACTCACTGTAGGGGCATGGAAGTCCAATTACAAGCTCCCAGGTCTTCAGACTAAGGGTATGGGAACATGAGTAAGTTACTCTGAGGAACTCAGGGTGCGCATGAGTTTCAAACACTTCCAAGAGATTTCCACAGAAACCACCCAAGCACACAGTCTCATGCCTGTGGTAAATACTGAGTACCTTACTCGCAGTATCACAGGCAGACGCTGTGTACACAGGCAGTTCATAAGGAATAACTGGTAGTAAGCACTAACTTCAGTTTTTCTCAACACATCACTGCTGTGTGCTTTCACCCCGGCTAGGGCCTCTGCAGAACAGGAACTACTGGCCAGGGGAATGGCTAAAGCCACTCATATGAACTGAGCAGCACCAGCTCAATTTAAACCATGGGATTCAGTGTCACAGGAAGGATTTTGGCTCAAGACAGCATCAGGACTAGGTGTATTGCTTCAACTAACACTGCGGCATCTCAAGGCAATTTGCTAAATCCCTGACAAAACAGGCTCCTGGGGAACAGAAATAAGCCAAACCCATGAAAGCCCTCTGGAGAAACTAGAAGCGAGCCTCTCCCATCCATGAGAACCTCTGCCACCACTTTCAGTCTTCAGTGGGCCCTTTTACTCGCCTTCTAATGGCTTCTGACACCACTGTGAAACATGCACACAGATCATCATAACTAGCTGGTATTTTAAATTCTTTTAATATCAAAGCATCCAGCCAGCAGAAGAATATCGTTATAGTTTTAGAAGCTGCACAACTACCTGTTAGTAAGTAGGCAGTTAATTCACCTCCCTCCAAAAATGCCAAACACGGTGATTCTTACACATACATGACACACACACATCATGTCTAACCTGTACCAATAAGTGAGGCAGCAGCTTCCACTTGGAAATTGCTAAATATGAAACTCAACAGTGCATTTGTTTGGATATATTAATAATGGAAAGAAAAATCTATCTAAGAACAAAAAGCAGAAATAATTTTGTTAAAGACTAGAGTTGGTGTTGAATGGTTCAGACACAAGCTACTGGACTTACCCTGCAGTGACTTTCCCAATCCCTGGCCCAGCTTCCACCCATGTTTCTGGAGTAAGCGGTGTCCAATATTATCCTGACAGACAGAACAGAGAAAACAAACCAAAAATATTCCAATAATATATTCTTCCCTTCCCACTGACATTTAAACATGTGATGAGCAAGAGATTTTCTACATATATATGCATGCAAAAAAATGCTACTGAAAAGGCAATATATGCCCAATAAAAGGGAAAGACAAATGTCAAAAATTGCTGGCTAGAATTTTTCCAGGGGGATGGGGTACTGGGGACGGTCACTTTCTGATGGTGTGCTGGGCAACTTTTGTGCATCACGTTTAAAATAAAAAAACAACAAAAAAAAAGCAATGTGGGAGAAAATAAAGTATACCAATAAAAATTGACAGTAAAAAGCATAAAATCAAGCTATTTATACAATCATATCCATCACCTAGACAGCACCACTTAAGATTTTTTTGTAAAGAAAATCTACAATGTGTTTAGTCATTTTGTTTGTGTGTCAGGCTTTTATAATACTGAGTAAGTTGTAAGTGCAAGACTGCCCCACCACTAGAAACCAAAACACAATCATAGCAAAATCCAGGCTAGACTTGATTGGGTTTTTTTATATATGTATATATATATATAAACTAGCATGCAGCCAATATTAAACTGAAAAAACAGTGAGGTTAGTAAAACAACAAAAAAAAAAATCAATTAAATAAAATGAGCTCAAGCACAGACTGGGTGATGCATTTCACATGTAAACTAACAAAAATACTAAGATGTTAGAATGAAACAGGCCTAGCAATAAGTTAACAGCAAGGAACCATTAGTGCATGTAGGGGAAACAATAAGCATAATGTCTCATCTTCCTAAAAAAAAAGCTATTTCAGAATAAGTGGAAAAGTACTGATGCAGCAATTAAGTGTCAGCTTTTGAAAACAGGGCTGAGCAGGGGCTCTTTGTGGAATTCAGTATGGTTTTATGCAAGATTTCTTCCCCCAAACAAAGAACAAGAGTGCTAACAACACCCTTGTCACCATCTAAAGCTGACAGCTTATCCCTTACTGATCAGTTTACCAGCTCACTAGCAGTGACCAACTGTCAAGTCCTCAAAGGAGGACTCTTTTAGGACTGTGTTCAGCTTCTAATCATAAAGATTAAAAATCAGATATGTATTTGTTGATTATTGTTATAAGGCAAACCACAATTCAAGATACCACAGAAATATCCTGAATTACAACAGGCTGTGAATCTAACACTGAGTGGTACATGGAAGCTTAAAAGAAAAAAAAGATATCTATGCTGCAGGTTTCTTTAATTAAATAACCAAGTCATCAACGCAAGTCAGAACAGCAGTGTTTTTTTCACTCACTCCACATTGAAGAAAATGACCACACAGTTTGCAGAACTTTGGTGAATCAGCTTGAAAGACACAATCTTCCCAAAAATATTGGCTGCATGGATACATTTCTCCTCAAAAAGATTCTATCAAGTATAAATTTAAATTTTTTTTCTGATAGACAAGTGAGACATTTCATCTCCCTGTATTTTTCAAGGCAACTATGTACATCTTTCCCACACTACCGGCTCTCCCCCAGGAAATAATTAGGACTACATGGGGGGAAAAAAAAAAAAAAAGAAGTTGTAAGGAAATGTCTGGTTATAAAAGCTTAAATCAGTATATGCAAAAAAAAGAAAAAATGAACAAATATGGATTCCAACCACAAACATCATGGAGAAAACTATCTGTTTGGGAGTATAGGAAAACTTACCTGCAAATATATCTGCTGCAGACCGTTTCTCTAACGGCCACAACAACTGCAAAGTCCTTCATGCAAAAGAGGCCTGAAGTTCAAAGGTTTTATGGATAACGCACTAATTGCTGTACCATTAGCATTGCAACTGTATCTGACAAAGGATTATTGAATTAGATTTTTTAAAAGCCGGTGCTGACAAAAATGGCTGCATTTTCAAAAAAAGGACAAGGAGTACTTTGCAATCTTTTGCTAAGTGGAGATGAGACATTGTGCTGACTGTGTTGTGTTATGAATGCACTAAAATAAAGACAGATGAAGCAGTATGCTATTTCCAAAAGCAGTGCAAGTGGAGTGAAAGCATTTCCATACGAACCTGGCTTTAAAAACTGGGCTGTCAAAAGAACAGTTAAATGTAACACAAAGTAAGAAACTGTCCAATCACTAATGGTAGTTTTTCTTTTGCTTTGTTTTCAATTCACTGCTTGCAAGTAATGTATTTATTAAAGAAGAGTGAAAGCATAAAATAAATTCAACAAGTCAAGACCAGCTGGGAGATTCAAGAGCGGTGTGTTGTGACTGACACAGTGAAGGGGTAAACAAATGTTAAAGGGAAAAAAGAAAAATTTAGAAGGGTTATACACATTAGCACCACTTTTACAAAACCACTCAAGAGGATGGTCGCAAGTTGTTTGACATAAATTGGAATTATGCCTGAATACTATCATCCTGTCTCAGTTACCAGGAAGGGGGTGTTTTTCCCCCGAGTTGCTTCCATTTGTTTGCTTAAGCAGTGAAACTACTTACTCATTTTAAGTATTACTAAACTGAAATGGAGCATCTTCTGTTTCATTGAACCGGGAGAACAACCCTAGAGTTTAGTATTAACATTTGAGTTGGAACCTAGTCATTAGTATGCTCACTTCTAACCATGCTTGACCTTCTTCCTCCATTTCAAATCACTATCACAGACCTCTCAGCGGCAGACTGGCAGGACTGCTCTTCAGCGTAAATGCTGCCCTAAAAATTAAATTATGGAAGGCCAGGCTTGCTAAGCTCCCACGTGAGAGCCACGCTGAAAAGCCTGGCGGCCTGAGGAGTAGCCAGGGATGTCAGAACCAAAATTTGACATGGGGCAGCAAATGTCACAACAGCTGGTACGTTTGGGTTTTTTTTTAAATTGCATTTTTAAGTGAAAGTTGTGTAAAAGTGTGAACTCTTTCAAGTAGAAAAGACTTTGTTTGGGGAGGTTGTTTCTGTTGGGGTTTTTTTGGTTTGGTTTGTTTTGGGTTTTTTTGGTTTGGTTTTTGTTTTTTTTTGGTTTTTTTTTTTTTTTTTTTACACCAAGCATCCTGTCATTGCTTTTGGATAAACCATCCTCATGTTGTGGCAATTTTCTGCAGCAATTTTGTAGATTGCTGCAGCAATCTACAAAATCTACAAAAACACCAACAATCTACAGCAATCTACAAAAACACCAACAGCCCAACAAGGAAGTCCCCCCATTTCTCAGCAGAGAGCTGGTAGCACAAGCCTCCTTACTTTCTTACATTAATGTTTTGGAGCTCCTTGTGTTACAGCCACAACAAAAATCATTGAGGCAGCCAAATTAAGTCTCCAGACAGGTGTCTGAGTGAGCAAGTGAGCTCTCATTTACTGTCCAAACTGCTCACAACAGCAGCACTATCTCTCTGGGTACCTAGTCACAGAGACAGCGCTGGACACCAGATTGCGAGGTGCTCAGTGTAGGACAGAGTGGCTCAGCAAGATCTTGATGGAACAATTTACACCTCCCGGCATTACTCTCACCAGTACAGAGCTGTTCAGTACTGATCCTTTCTATTTCCAGATGGAGAACTTTGCGTTATGGAAGAAGAATAACTTTTCCAAATGTAGGAAATGTAAAGATCTTGACTTCACCAAACCTTCATGGGAGTTGGATAAGCTACTTTGGAAAAATCCCATCCAAAGGGACCTTCTCTAACAGATCAGACTGGCCTCCCCAATTCCCCATCCTGTGCACTGACAAGATGCCCCTTGATGGCTTTCCACGGGTATCAGTGATTCCTGATCAAGATATCCCCAGCACAAATTTCTGACAAAGGTCCTGGCCAATAGAAAAAAAATGCATACAATGAAAAGATGCATACAAGAACTGAAAGGTTTTGATGATGTTGTATGTGGCACATAATCCGCAGTCAGTGGATTGAGCTCTGTTACGGATAAACCAAAACACTAGTTTTGCCTGACACAGGTTTTCCGTAAGATCCCCACGCCACCCCACGTACCCTGGTCACATCACTCGTCTCTTGGCACCAGCAGGAACCATACGTCTCTTGAGTGGATTGTAAGCTGTGCTGACTGTGTATTGAGAAATCTATAAGCAAGGATTGGATGCTACTGGGTGAACCCATGCAAACAAGAGGTTGAAAAGATTCCCAAAACAAAACCTATAGCTCACTACAGATGACACAATGAAGACTAGAGAGAAAAGCCAAATAGTAATGCTACACCATTCAGCTTCAAGAAGCACATTATTTATAGCGCTGTCCACATATGGCTACTGCTAAATGTCAAATCAGCAGCCTCATCAAATTACACTTTGGAACTAGTGGAGTCCACAGATCTGTACAGATATACAGTGCGACAAAACCCAGCTTCAGCTCGTACACTCGTCTACAATAGCCTGCGATCCTCAAACAACTACCAACTGAAGCCTGAAACCTTGTGTAGTTCAAGGACCTCCTCGTGTAACGGAGCAGAATTAGAGAGAGGGGGGGAAAGGACATTTGTTAGTTATGACGAGGACAAACTAACAAGCTCCAGAATAAGTGGGTGATACACAGTCTGGCCTCCAACCTGCAACAGCGACAGCTTGGTTCGACTCCCTCACGCTCTGCATACTGCCTGCATGGGGAAGGGGCTGCTTTCTTGGGTAGGCTCTAAGGGTATATTGCTATCTCCTACTTGATCTGAACTGCCGGGAAAAAGAAAACCATAAATTCACAGCAACAAGATTCAGTAAACAAGTAGAAATAAGAGATTAACATGAAGAAAATCTGGATTCTAGTAAAGCTGCAATACTTTGTGACTTCCCGTTTGAGTACCTGTCCTCAGTGCACTTAAAATATTTTTTTAAAAATGCATGCAGCTTCTTGAATTTAAAAAAGGGTTAAGTGCTCTGATTTTTCAAGGACACCAGTGGTTGTACTGATGTGAACAGCCAGTGTAAGTGCAGCATCTTTCAAACCAGAACAAAAAAATTGTTACTTGTGGGGAAAAAAAAAACCATCAGTATTTGCAGCTATGAAGAGTCCATTGATATAAAATATTTTCTTCAATTTAGTAATGGAAAATAGCTGGCTGCTTATTTAGGCTCCATATATCCACTAGCTCATCAGCTCTATTTTCCATAAATGTACTTTGGTTATAGTCGCATGTTTCAGTCCAGACATCTTTGGCCTAAACAAGCTGTGCAAAGCAGGATTTCCACAAGAACCAAAAATACTAGTACGCTAATTGAGGACACATTTCAACATTGTAATGATCTGTAGACTCCCCAACCTATTTTTCCAGCCACCTTTGAGTTGCATGCTGTAGCAGTACAGTCAGCACCTCTCAACAGATAATGCTGCAGAGATGGATCTCACTTCAGTGGTGATTGTCAAATGTATCCTTCAAGTGAAACCCTCTGCCCCCGGGATTTCCAAATGCCAACTACCTTTAGTCTTTACAGCGTTTTCATTTTACTAAGATGATGTGAGACGCTGCAAGAAGCACATTTAGGAGAATGTACTCAATCCACTCTTCAGTCTGTAGAATAACCACATTTTTAACTGGAAAGTGCTTTGATCTGCTATTGCGGATCAAATGGTTCCTCACACAAAGACATCTGTCATCTAAACTATTTCCATAATGTGAAGCATAGGCTCTTACTCATTACTCTGAGCAGATTCCTTTTTAAAGGTCAGCTGAATCGCTAACAGGGAGCTGGTTAAGGATTATAAAACAATTTGTTAATACTGCAAATACCACACATCTAAATATTTGCAAATTATAGACTTGCCCTTACTCCTTCCCTCTCAATTTCAGTTGAAGTATGTTATCCACTTCTGGGTGAGCAAACAGCATAAAATACAACAAGGCAGAAAAGCAGTATGGACACCTCTTTCCTAGTGAAAAATCTTGCAGAAGAGGTGAACCACTAAAGTCTGAAAACTCTTCCTTCTTTTAATGTGTGTAATTTGCCAATTAAAAAAGGCACACAAGTCATTAATAGTATGGAAGCAAAATCATTTTCACAAGTGTCAGGAAACCTGACAAAATTATTTATGCTTCCCAGCTACAGAATTTCTTTTAAGAATCAACAATGTATTTAATGAAGACCATGTGAAGATTAACCTTAAAAGTGACCAGTGTGTTTCTGACACTGGGCTTATTCATGAGACCAAAAAACCACCCTGTGCAGCAGTAACAGCTTTTAAATTCTTGGACTAGCACATGAAACCAGCTCAAGTGTGCTCCAACGCAGAGCACAGCTGCCGTGACAATGCAGAATGTACAGTTACTCCATTCTGTGACTCCTTCCAAGAGTTTAATGTCCCAGGCTAGGGGTCTTGCAACTCAAACACCTGTTTCTCTTACTATAGACAAAAGAAGAGTGAAACAAACTGGTTTTTAAGGTAAGAACAATCTGAGGTTTTAATTCTTTCTCCTCCTAAAGCAGCAAGCCTTTAGGCTGAACTGTACATACTAAAACCTACCAAAAAGTTGTAAAGATCATGTCCCGATATTTGAATGAGATATATATATGAATAAAATGATGAGATATATATATATGAATAAAATATTAACGCTGTAATTGACTTTAATTTTTCTGTTGCAGTTCAACATTAATTAAACTGCAACAAAGTATTACATCTGCAGATGATCCAAGCTGTACTGTGAGTCTGTGTGCCCATGTTGCTGGGTCCAGTGTACTCGTTCCTGTTTTACACACTTCCGTAGGCATCGCTCCCTTTGGAACACCAGAGAGATGTCATCTGTGACCAATTCTGTTCCTCTGTTTGGGAAAACACTTTCAGAAATCAGGTAACCAGTCTAGTCTGTAAGTAGTATTTGAATTATTTTGAAATGCTGATTTCCAGCGTGGCACGGAGTAGGCTATCAACAAGTATTTCTCATCATATTTACATAGGGAAAGACACTTGGCATTTTAATCAAAATCCCCATATCACAACGTAAGATTGAAGTATTCAGGAGAACATTGAATACAAATTCCCATCTCTGCAGCATTATCTCATGCGTCATCAATTACTGCCATGCCTAAATCTAGCATCATGCCAGCACATTAAGACAGTAGGTACTATATGCAGTGTTCACTGGACCAGAAGAACAGAAATAAGAAGGGGGAAAGGAAACCCTAGAGAAGAAATTAAAAAAGGCAGACCGTGCAATACAAACCAGATCATGGCTGCTTAGCTAATATGGGCCAACTGCTGCGGAAGAAAAATGTCGAACACCCCAAGTTGTGTAAATTTTTTGTAAACATCTAACACGCACACAAACACACACAACACCAACCTACACATGAATGAAAAATATATATTGATCTTTTGCTAACAGTTTCTTCTAAGTGCATACTAACGTGAAGAAACTTTAACAGAGAACTTAAATTATTAATAGGGAAAAGAAACACTTGACATGTACTTTCTTAACAAAAATCTAGTCTTAATCAGAACACCACTAAGTGACCCTCAATTATTCACAAGTTTTCTTGCTCTCATACTGAAACTGCAAATGAAACTTAGCTAAAGCTAAGTGCCAAACTTGGATCCAGTTTAGGCTGAACAAGCTACTGCACCTAAGACTAGCAGAAGATGCTTTGCAAAGAGAACAATTAAAAAGCTATTAAAAGTTTTAAAAGGTAAAACTAAACAAAACTTAATTTTCCCCATCTTATGGCTGTACACTCCACACCTAATTCAAAGCAATAGTTTACAGAAACTCACAGCGCAGTTTCAGGTTCATGGGGAAGGACTGCTACACTAACACTGTAACTTATCCCTGTCTCCATACTGCCAGGTGTCATTCTAACACTTTAACACACCAGTAGCTTTCAAAAAATATAATCTTAAAAAGGATCAAAATACATTTTACTACACTACTCCATCAGGTCTGCATATGAATTAAACTGCTTCTTCAAAGAAAAGTATAAAAACTTAACAAAATAAATATCTATATGAATGTATGTATTATTTTAAGTAATTTCTGAAATATTACGTTGAACTAAAAGTCACCTATAGTTTTAGGAGAACTACTTAAAGATTAAATCCCAGGCCCACTTAATCTCAGCATGCAATTTACCACAAAAAAGAAATAACCCTGTACTGACAAAAAGATGCCCACTCCTATCAAATTTGACTGCATTCACATCAAGTACCATCCGATCACGGCCTAATTTTTGGTGGGTTGATGATGCTGATAAGTATGTATCTTACCGATTCTATAGGCTTGTCTAAAGATGCTTGCTCTATCTCCAGGTGCCCTTCTTCATATTGATCAAAGTGATTACCCTGTAAACAGAAAAAGGGGGTTAGCTCTACAGCAGAGAACACATTTTCAACAGTCTAGTTTTCAAGATTCAGGTTTGTAAACTGTGTTATATTTTATATACTTTTGCTAACAGATGAACTTATTACATACAGGCACAATACAGTATATAGGCTATAAGAACAAAAAATTATTCTAAAAACTAAGTCAATTTGATCATAATCATAAACTATGGAAGTTGGCAAAATATCAAACATTTACAATGACAATACTTCGGGGTTTTTTTCTTTAGAAAGGCTGTGAAACACTGACCGTAAGCACCAGTGCTGGCCTTAAAACCATACAGGACAAGAAGCAGAAGGAATTGACCCCACCACCACTATAAAGGGGGTTTTTGTTATCTTCTCTCTTTTAAAGAAGAGTAAGGCTTTCCTTGCAGCAGGAAATCCAAATTGCTTGAGGCACACATGTAATTTCACACACCTTAAATCAACAAAAACCCACAGTGGTAGCAAATGAAACCTGTTCCAGTGCCCACAGCACTTGTTTATGGTCTGGAGCAGCCCTTTCCTTGCACCTAGGCAGCTGCACAGTGAACCGTTAGTGGAAGTGATCCTCCACCACACAAAAAAAGCCATTAATTGCAATGCTGGCCAGGTGACCACGTGGCCACAGAAGCACGTATGTTGGTACAAAGAACACTGGATGCACACACAGAACTGCTTGGTCCAGACGTACCAGCTTCAAGCATTTGTGAGCACAGTCCCTAAAACTGCTACACAAAAAAATGACAGGACTGAGGAGCATGTCTGAAAAGACAGAATTGGACCAAGAGATACACAGGGAAGCGTACTAATAGAGTGTACAGATACTCACACAGCAGAGAAAATGCTACAAAGAATGGTAAGTCCAAGCAGCTTGCTTCTTTACACTCTTGGAGCAACTCCAAGAAACACCTCGAGTCCTATAGACTGGCCATGTATAATAATTAAAGCAGATAGGAAAACTAAACAGGATTGATATTGTGGTGTACTGCGCCCTGCCTCCACCAACATCCAGCACGCACACTTCCAGACTGCTGAGTTCTGAACTGGGCAACCTGTCCCCTACCCAATGGTGCCACGTAAGCACAGCACAACACACAAACAAGAGCCTCTGGAGTAGAGACTACAGTCGAGCAATCCTCTTCAGGCATCCGCTACAGGAAAATTCAATCTTCTCGTGCTTTTGCCTGGATATTAAGCACATAGGGTTCATGAGCTAGGAAGGCAAAGGCAGTCTCTGTCCTCCAGAATAACCGTTGGTGCTGGAACACCATCAGCATGAAGGGCCATTTCAGGAAAAAAAAAAAAAAAAATCTCTGTTGTAATTTCAGAGGTTTCTGAAACCTCAAATTCCTGAAATTGCAAACATGGTGAACCATTTTCGGCCGTTCAATAGGCCTGTGATGCAGCACTAACATCCACCGTTGCTAGCACAGACCTGGAAAGGAAAAAAAATCTGACTTTCTAGCTGCAAACTCAAAAGCAAACAGAAGAGGTGCTTGCAGCTGAAGGAGGTCATTTCAGTGGTCTCTCCTGGGCACTGCTCAGCATCAGAGCCCTGTGAAACCCCAGGAGGTGCTAAGGCCTTGGCTGCCACCCTCCAGTCCCTTCCCAGGCCCCACAGTGCCACCGAAAGCCTTCTGGCAGCTCAGCCAACACCCAACACCTGGCAGCTTTTATTTGCGTCCCAGCTCTGCAATTACTTTGAGCAGGAACACCTAACACCACTGCCAAGAGAAACATGTTGTCACTCTCCTCCTTTCTACCAACACCAACTTTTCCTTCTGCAAGAATTTTAATGAAAGCCAGCATGCGAAAGAGCAAATTATAGTTGTAACGGACTGCCTGTTGGCATTTTACAAGCCAGGCACCAGCCTCCAAAAATCCTCTGGAACAAGTGTACATATCCAGTGATGCAAATCTGCAAGAGACCATCTTGACAAAAACCTGTTGCCAAGAGAACGTGCTTTGATGTTGGCGCCCCAACCGCCAGCCTATACATCATCTGCAGTCCACAGCGATAATTCACCCAGGCCACACTCTGCTCCCAGTAGTCTTCTTTCCCACGGCCTCTCCAGAGCAAATTTCAGGCTTAATCTGCAGGCAGCAATCCACTCCCATCCATTTTTTTTTGGACAGTCCTCAAGGAGCAAGCTGAAGGCAAACTTACCATGTACACACAGTCATTGAGCTGCTTAAAAAAAGCTAGTAATTCTCAGAGACAGTCAGAGTTTCAGGCTGTACACGTGTGTGCTGTGAAGTCAGGGAGCCCAGCAGGGAGAAGACATGATAAAATCTGCCTCAAGAGCAGACGGACACAGCCCAGCCTCCCAAAAAGTAATGCTCAGAGAACAAAAGCAGTCAAGAGTGCATGCTGTTAATGAATTTGCACTGCTGAACACTAGCAAAAACACATTACTAAAACTTCATATATTAAAAAAATTAAATCTACATAACATTTCATTAACAAACACTTCAAACACTCTCAGCAAAAGCAAAGACGTACTTCCCCCCTGCCTAATTTCACAATGTGATTTGCTGCCTGCAGATAGCTCAGAATATACCAACTAAATTACCTGGAGCTGGCAAAATATTTCTACCTACTCACCATCTCCTTCAGCACACTGCCTGCCAAGACAGTTAAAATTGTTTTTACAAAGGCAAGGGTCAATTCCAGTCTGAAAGCACGCCTTGCTGATTTGAGGCTTTACAACTTGATTTTTCTGTGCTTAAAAACAATACCTCCTCCCAGAAACTATGCAAAAGGCTGAACACCCACTGTGTCACAGCCAAGCGAAAAGAAGTCAGAAAGCAAATAGAGCCATTCTCTCTAAGTTCTAGTGATCCTACTATTATCTACTTTATGGATTTTGGGGGTTATTTTATATATTTACATACTTTGGGGTTTATTATCTAGTTTATATTTACTTTGAGTTTTTTGTTACTGGTGACGGGAAGTGGAGGCAGGTTGCTTGTTTTTACAAATAACAGCAGTACTAAATTAAAGCTTTCAGAAGAGGCAGGGTGCTTCCCATCTCCCTGAACTCCTGGGTGTGCAAATGCCCCCCCAAGCACACGGGAACAACACGGGTGTGATGCTGACAAGCTGCTGGCTGTATCGGCAAGTTGACTGTTACAGGCTTGGTAATTTAAGGCATCAGAATAACAAAGTGTCCAAACTGAAAAGAAATCAATTCTCATCACAGACTGTTCTTTATTTATCAATACTTAAAACAAATGATAAAGGAAAAATTTCCCTTCCACTATAAAGTAGCTGACCCTGGAAAAAGGCAGGAGGATAATCTGACAGTCATACTGAAATCAGATTTATGAGTGAGTTCAGCATGGTAGTGCCTAACGAGCAAGGAGAAAAATAGTTCTCAATTCTAGGGTCATGACAAAGAGCTTGTTAAGGCGATGGCTGCCATCGTGGTGATCACAGGCCTTTTGGAGCTGGGACTCTGTGGGGCTGGAGGCAGCACAGTCTGTCCCTTTGCTTCCTCATCCCTGGAGCTGGCTAAAGAACAAGTTGGGGGAATTCCATCTGTTTTCCTTCTTTTCCAATCCTTCAACCTAGCACATCGAATGGATCCATATAACATTTCTGGTTTGCTGTATCTTAAGACAATGAATCAGAGGAAGACAAAATACTTCAACATTTAAATCTAACAATTAATTAAATCCTAAATGTTGAATCTGTTGAGATTAAACTACATTTCTGGCAAACATGAACCATAAGCACAGACATTTTAACACAATTTTGATCTGTGTCTTCTGTAGACTTAAGGGATGCTTCCCTCTTCAGAGGAAACCTCTTAAGTGAAAAGAAAAATTCAATCCCTACAAAATGGATACCAGGTCATAAAGTAACAGCTGCATTAAAACCAGCACTACTCAAACCTATTCCTTCTCCCTCCTTCCCTGTATGACTATTACAGAGACACAGTAAAATCCTGGCCCTGCTGGCTAATAACAAAGTTTCTACCTACTCCTGTGGACAAGGATTTCAGGGCTGCAGGCAGTGCCCTTCCCTCTCTCATTGTCAGTCCCTTCATTTTAAAGCTGTGTACTCACTTCTACTTTGTAAAACTAGACGTGTTGCACTGCTTATATCACTTCCTTACAGATGCTACCTCCATCCTAAAATAGCAGAGCAAATAGGATGAGAGGCTTCTACTTAAGCATCATTTATTTCTATCACTTGGTGCTACAGCAACTGCTCTCACACTAGGTGCTTCACTACAAGCACACTGAAATACAATGTTTTACTACTTAGATGAGAAGCAAGGACAAGCCTTCAACATCTAAACGTTCTTTATTATACACCACACACACCATTTGGTTTCCTTATTGCATTCATCTCCAGGAGCCAATATCTTTGCGTCCTGTAATTTTTTGTGTAATATCATCTGAACTTTGGCTAACGACCCATTTTGGTTACTCACAGTCACATGTCCTCGCCTCTCTCCTCCACTTTCCCATTGTTTGATCTTTGCACAAAGCTCTTCGACAAACCTTACCTCTTGGAGCTCTCAAACATGTAACTGCTGAGTTATGAATACAGCATTTGAAAAATCAACTAACAAAAGCTGCCTCCATGCAGGATTTTAGACCCTTATTCTCCCTTATTTGGGCTGTAAATACTTCAGAGCTCTGGCCCAACAAATGTCATTTGATTAAACAGTGGAGTCACTGCACTTTCTGAAACAATTCAAGTTTAATAACTAAGGGGAAAGAGTATTGTTGTTTCTTTCTTACTTATAAGATCCCAAACATTAGCGCTGAGACCCAGTCAGTATAATCTAAAATGAGACCCAGTCAGTATAATCTAAAAAAAAAAAAAAAAAACAAAAAAAACCCAATTAAGAACTTAATCACACTTTCATCCCAAAATCTTTAGTGGCAAGAATCATGGCCAATAAATGACTCAATGCAAGTGAAATGAATTGTTGATTTAAGCCCATTTATCAGAGTAAGTT